TTTTTTTGGTTTTTTTGAGACAGGGTCTCCCTGTAGCCCCAGCTGGCCTGGAATTCACAAAAGATCCACCTGCCTCTGCCTCCCAAGTGCTGGGATTAAAGGCATGCGCTACCATGTCCAGCCCCAATTACTTTTATAAAGACCTAATTTTTGAGTTACTGAAGTTTAATACTGCAACATAGGGACTAGTGGAAGGAAAAGCTACATCTCATAACAGAGAAAAGAAAGAGATATTTCTTGTTGGTTTAGTTTGGAAATGAGGAAAGCAGCTGGTTGTAAGGGTCATTGTTGTAATGTTCTCTGTGGCGTTAATGGAATGTACACATTCAGCTCCAAAGCTGGGCAGCATGAGATTATAGGAGTACAGGAGCCAGTGGGAAAGCTTCAGGCTACAGGATGGTGAAAGGCTTTGAGGATGAGAGCCATACTTGTGTTTTACTTTGGTGTAGTAATTCTCAACCATAGGAGATTTTGCCAATGTCTTGAGATATGTTTGACCTTAACCACTCGAGTTGTATTATTGGTACCTAGTAATTGGAGTTCAGATCTACTGCTGAACATCCTGCAATGTGTAGTCCAGCTGACCCAAATGTTGGTGCAGCCCATCCTCTGCACATTTGTCCTGCATCCATGTGCTCAACCAAATCTGGATTATGTACCATGTAGTTAATACTGCAGTGCTTGTGATGGTTAATCTTTTTAAAATTACATTTATTTATTTGTGGGAGGGGGTGTACATTCCACAGTGCTCCTGTGGAGGTCAGAGAACAGTGCACAGGAGTTTGTTCTCCCATTCCACAATGTGGGTTCCAGAGATTGAACTCAGGTTGTCAGACTTGGCCTCACGTGTCTTTACCCACAGAGCCATCTTGCCAGTCCTGTAATGATTAATTTTAATGGTTAAGTTGATTGGATCTGTAATCAACTGAAAGACACACCTCTAGGCAGTTCTATGAGGGCATTCTGGGAAGGATTAACTGAGGAGAGAAGACTTTCCCACCCTAGTGGGTGCCATGTTCCCGTGGAGACCCAGATAAAGAGCTCCCTGGGAAAAGCAGTGCAGCTTTGCTTGTCCATTTTCCCTTCTTGCTGGTGAATGCTTTTAGCCTGTTGTTGCTTCTGCTGCCACAATCCTTTGTTGACCTCAGAACCCAGCTTCTTCAGCCTTCCAATGTGAACTAAAGACCAGCAGCTCTCCAGGAATCCTCAAAGCCTTCAGCAAGATTGGAACTGCTAAGGCATCCAGCTTCATAGACTGAGCAGCTGTCAGGTAGGTTCTCATCTTCTCCAGCATGCAGATAACTATTGCTGGACTACCTAGTCCTAAGCTAGTCTAATAATATGTAATAGAATCATAATATATATATATATTCTATTGGTTACATTCTTCTAGAAAACCCTGACCAATACACAGTACTTGTGTCTGTAATAAACACATACATTTTTCTTTTTCTTATTACCTAAACAATACAATATAACAACTACTTGTATGGTATTTGCATTGTATTAATTGTAAGTCATCTAAAGATGATTTAAAGTATACAGGAAGATAACATAGGTTATATGCAATACTCGACCATTTTATACAAGAAAGTTGAGCATCTGTAGATTTTTACATCTGTAAAGGGGATGATAGGGAAGGAATGGTATTCTGGAACCAGTCTAAGAAAAAATCTGCTGCATGCTTGCCTGCTTTGACTCCTTGCTAGTAAGGGTGTCTGTCCCATTGTTGCTGCTGCTTCTTCTGCTGACATCAGAATATAACTTCTTGGCCTGCCAGGGTAGCCTGAAGACTGGTGACTCTCCAGGAATCTTCTAGGGCTTCAGAGCATGACTAGGACTGCTGAGACATCCAGCTTCATGGACTGAGTGCCTACTGGGGTTCTTAGCCTCTCCATCATGTAGACAGACATTGTAGACTTATGCAGCCATTCTGATAAATCTTCAGATGGATGGATAGATGGATGGATGGATGGATAGATAGATGATAGATATTCATATTTTATTGGTTCTGTTCCTCTACAGAACACATTACCAACCTAATCCCTTTCTGTTTGAAATACCTGCAGCAGTCTCTGTGTACCCCCTAACTGACATGGTGGTACAGAACAGACTCAAACTTCAGACTTGATTGTTTTAACCAAGACCAAAAGATCAAGGAGATGATCACATACCTGTGAGTCTCACTGGCAAGAGGACCTCCCATGAGGTGCCTGGGGAGAAGTAGGTACCGTTTCCTTTCACCTTTCTTCTACTTGAGGATTTGTACCAGTTTTCTAGTTTAGGAAAAAGCAGGATAGAAGCACTAGGTTTCAAAACAAAATCATATAAAATCCACGTCTATTGAACTTGAGACAACACAGAGGCCTGCTTTTCCACTGGAATAAAATTATATTACATCAGCCTTCTTTCGTAGAGAGCACAGCAGAAGCAGCAGGTTACAAACAGAATTCAAAGGCAGTGAGCTAGCCCTAACATTCCTAGAGACTTCTTCAAACCCAGCCCCTCAGCTTTGAAATACACCATTCTACTAATGAAATCATACAATCATAGCAAGTTGTTTTGGATAGTGTGTTTATTTTAAATTTATTTTTTGAAATGGGATCTCTTTATGTTGCCCAGGCTGGTCTTAAACTCCCGGACACAAGGGATCCTCCTGTTTCAGCTTCTCAGGTAGTTGAGACTGCAGGCCACCACATACACCTTCATGTGTTTGGTAAAAGAGGGTGAAGGTATTCAAAGAAAATATTCAAAATAATTGAAGATCTTTATTTCTCTTACCTGCTCACTCATACAGTTTTTCATCAGGTAGATCTTTGTCTTCAGGCAAATGAGTATTACAGATACGGGCTCGAGACCATACCTGTGGATGTCTGTCCCCTACAAGGCATGTGTGTATGCCTACAGTCAGTTTCTCACCAGCCTCTTCATTTTTCAATTTTCAATTTAAAAGAAAATTGAGCCAATGATCTTCAAGACAGAAAAACTTGTCAGTTTTCCATTCTGATAATCTCAGTCTCTCAATGCACACAAACCCAGTGAGCAGCGCCTTAGAATCATTCCTGTGCTGTCCAGTTTGAATCTCCTCTGGGGAACCTGAGCCTCATTTCTGTATCAGTGGCAACAAAGCCAGAGGGGAAATCATACAGAGCTGTAAGTCTTTTTTGGCTGCTATTTTCAACAATTCTCCTCTCAGAATTTGAGAACATATCCATGCCACGCCTCCTTTTGTGACAGTAATTAAAGCCCTGCTCAATAAAAGTGGATCTCCAATAACATAAAACACTATAGATGAAGTAATACATTGTTCTTTAAATTAGAGGAGGTAATAAAACACCCTAGACTGCTTGTGGAAACTTGCCAGTACCTGGCTACTAGTCTGATCCCTATAATATATCGAAATTGCCTCAAGGTTAATATATTGGTCTCATTTTAAATTCTAAGTTCTCTCCTGCCAGGGAACCCATACTATTTTGAACTAACATGTTTAACATGTTTCAGCTGGAATCTGCTGTATATGCTAATGGCTTCTAATCTTCCTTTTTGTGCTTTATTCCCAGGAAGGTCTTGATGGAGATCCTAATCTGCAGCTAGGATTATAAAAGCAAGTGCTTTGACTCCTATACATTAGAGAATTTGCCAGGCCTCCTTGGAGAACCAGTAAAGAGAGCTTCAATCCTAATGAGTTTTTTAAATGGTTCACTCCTCCATCCTACAGAGTATTTTTTCAGCTTCTGAGGGTCGTGTCTTTGGGAATTCACTTTAGGACAAAAGAGTGCTGAAGACCATTGGGTTCTGTCCTAGATTGTGCCCGATAGTGAAATGATTCACTTTTGAGAAGACAGTGGATAGGACCATGACATAATCCTCAGATGCAGCTATAAGGTAGTTTGTCCCAAATTCTCAAAGCAAACTGTAAGCTGTGGAGAAGTAAGTGGCTCCTCAGAAAACCTTACCAAATAGCAGTAAACAGTGGTGGGGACAGAACCTTCAACCATTGGACATAGTGGTAACCAAAACAGTATTGGCTGTGGTCTGGCAAGATGACCCTGGTAGCAATGATGACTGTGACAGGGACTGCATCCTGCATCCAAAGAGAGAGGATGCTTTGTGAGCATTCAAGGAAAGAAGAACAAGGACGTAGATGATGATGAGTCTAAAGTCATCAGGATAATTCCATTCCTGTCAATGAATGATATGAAACAAATGGTACTTTCCTGGGGCTGGAGAGATGATTCAGTGGTTAAGAGCACTGATTGCTCTTGCAGAAGACCAGGGTTCGCTACCCAGCACCCACATGGTGGCTAACAACTGTCCATAACTCCAGTTTCAGGGGTTCTGACGCCCTCTTCTGATCTCTGATCTCTGCAGGCATTGCATGACACAGGTGCACTTTCATACATTCAGGCAGTACACTCATATATTTCTTTTTCTAAAAAAGAAAAGAAATGATACCTCCCTAGCCACAGAGATATAATGAATAAGATTGTTCTGCCTGGTAAGTCCCACACACTCGATGTGAGATATCCTCAACTACTTATTGTTACCAGAACACACAAGGCCCCTTTTGCCTGTTCTTAGTCTCATAGATTTTTTTAAAAAAATGAAAATCAGACTCAGAAGGAACTTGAGAACAATTTTATTGGAATTTAAGAGAAAAAAATACCAAAAGGCAGACAAGCCAAAGATCTTGGCAATTGTCAGGAGAATACAGAGAAGAAAAAGAGAGAAAGTCATGCTTTCTGAGTTAAAAGTCAAGGAAGCAGGAAGGCTCATCAATGGAAACCTGAGAGCAGCTGCCTGGGCATAGTGTTTCTTCAGTGAGAGTCTGAATACACAGAGTGCCAGGCCAAGCAGGTTTAAGATTTTGGCCAGTATCCAAAATCAGGAAATGGAAAAGAAACCCAAAAGGCCAGTAGGCTTAACAGTGAGGGTATGTAAGCAACTGCATCAAGGGAGGAGTTTCTGGGGTAGGTAAGTATGTACTTCACTATGGGAATTCTTCTCCCCATTTTTTCAGCATATCTGCAAGTATATGATGTTTCTTTTCACCTTTTGATTTAAGGATGTTCCCTTGAGGTTGCTTTGCCTTCATAAGGGATGTCCAGCTTTCTGTATAAATGTGTTGTCAACCACTGACCAAGACACTTCTAAAGAGAGTTACTGACAAGTAGTATATGATGGGTCAAAACTTTGGAATCACAGAAGGAGGGTTGCAAGGGTCAGGAAATTAAAGGAGATGCATAGAGCCACAGACAGATACACATGCTTTTTTATTCCAGGAAAAGGGCAAATATGCATGTCCTTGGTCTCAAGGACATTTATATAGAATTTACACAAAAGTAGTTTCTTGTCAAAACTGGTTATATAACAAGTTACATAACAATCACATTTACTTCTTACTCATGGTTCCCTGGATATCTCATAGTGGCCATCTTAACTAAGTCATTTCATTTATCCATACCGGCATCATGTTGTTTAAACCTTTATCTGGCCATTACGGCCTTCATTCCCTTTATTCCACCCCTTTTTAGACAGCAGGAACTTTATTAAAATGGACCCCTAGGGATATTCTCTGGACTCATAGTTCACAGCAACAGTATAGAAAACAACAAATGAGTAGAAAACAAGTGCCACCTCTTAAGGCTAAGATGGTCTACTTAGTGCAAGTACAGTCCCACCATTGTTCAAGGGCATCTCCAGTTAACTACTGGGTCACTTGTACCTCAATGGCTATTTCTTGTAAAGAAATTATTTGTTTAGTGATCTGGGATATGTACACACAGTACTTAGTGAGTGACTGGCACAGGTTATTCCCTGGATAGCCATTAGTAAATCTAGAGCTCTGTAATACCACCTTTCTCACTGTATGGTCTTGTCCATGAGAAAGGCCAGAACCTGACAGGTCTGGTTGAATGCAAGCATGGTGTGCTAGACATTTACCTCTATTTCTATATCTATAGCCTTTCCCAAATGCAAAAAGAGCATAAAAATACCATGGTGTGTGTTTTTGTCCATGCCACCATGTGTACATAGCATCCCAGCTATGGATTAACTGGGGCAGGGTGGCGAGAATGTCCCTATCTCGGTATGGGCATCCCCTTGTGTGATGCCCAATCCAGTCATCTGATAGATATGGCCAACCATTCTACCCACAAACCCACATAAGCCCTCATCTGAAATCCCTCATCTTGTGGTCTCCAGGTAGGTCCAGTTGGCAAAGGTTGCAAGATGGATTCACAAAGGCAAGCCACCAACTGAGTCTATAAGGAACTATACACACACAAAAATGGGATGCATTCACTGCCTGGGTTTGTGTATGCACCTAGGAGACAATGCTTTTGCTGTAGTCATCTGGGACACAAAGTCAGGTCAGATACAGAGACCACCATGGCAAGTCCCTGCCCTCTGGGAAAGTATAGGCCACCTTCCCATCCTGCATTAGTATAGTGGCTGCCAATGGCTTTTTCCTGGCCTGAACTATACAGTCTCTCCCAGGACTCAGTCTCTCCCAGGACTGAGGCAGGGGATGAACATCACTTACTGGCAAGTGCAAGATGGGTCATACTGCCACTACTAAAGGACCTTTCAGAACCAGATAAGAGTGTCCCAGAGTCCATTGTAAAGTGAGAGTACTTGGTCACTTTGTCACTAGGGGAGGTTGGTATCTGTACACCAATACTTTACCCTCATGTCCCAGAAGGTTGAAAGCCCCAACAACAGAGCTTGGAGCTATCTATCACCTAGTTCCATTTTCATACATAAGTTTGTTCTCCTATCACTATATGTGTGCGTGACATCAACTGTCCCTGAGGCCCCAGCTGTGGGATGAGAAGGGCGTCTGTATCCTTGGAAACAATTATAAAGCTGATACTTTCTGTACAAGACCTCTAATGGGGTCGACCACTGTTTCTGGGTTGCTCACTTAAGGTAAGTACCATTCCATTGAAGTGAATCTGCCACCCTTTGAGGGATGAGGGATCTGTTCCCACAGGCAATTTATCCTTTAAAAGACCATTATATCTATTACTCCTCCTGCCTGGGGACAGTATATCTTGTGCAACTGCCACTCAGTGACCATTTGAATGACCCAAGCCTGGACCTGGGTGCCATTAAAATGCATCTCCCGGTCTCTTTCCAAAGTACAGAACTGACCATACACTACACAGAGATGTGTCGAGGCCTGTATAATTGCTTTCTGGGTGGCCTGGGCAGTAAGAGAAGCAAGCCATAGACCCATAGCCATGGAAGCAGTGGTAAGGGCATAAGTACAACCTTCAGACACAGGAAGAGACCCAGTGTAGTTAACTTGCCCTGTGTGGAGAGGTGCTTTTTTCCTGCTCTGATAGGCATCATTTCTAGCTGCTGCCACTTGAGGAATACCTGGGCACACAGCACATTGCCAATAAGCATTCCATATCTCTTCACAAGAGGCCTAACCTCCATCAGACATCATTTACCTGTGTCGTGGTCTTGCTTCCTGCGTGCCCAACTCAGTGTAGCCATGGGGAAAAGTCTTTGCTACTGGCCTTTATACTCACTAAACATGGGCCAGTGTGTTTGCTTCATCATTCCCAGGGCTGAGTAAAGGTTTATGGTTGGCTACATAAAAGACTGTCTCAGATTTTTGTTGCCCTAGGTGTCAGAGATCTTCCTACATGGAGCAGATGGTCCACCTCCCAATCTTTCACATTCTATATGAGGATCTACAGAGTGAGCCCACACACACGTCCCAATTATCAGTCCACACGTGAAGAGGGAGGGCTCATCCGTAGCTGTCATTCATATAACCCTTAATTCAGTTTACTGACAGCTTTAACTGACCTCTGCCTCTATCCAGAAAACATCAGTGGACAGCTGGAGAGCCATTGCCATCCATGTGACCCTCTGTTGGAACTATTAATGTACCAGGCATCAGGAGGTGTGATCCCTTCTCAATAAGGACTTGGTTCCATGGGCTTCATCTGTTTATTGAACATGTATTTATTGAGTTTCAGTATATTCCTAGAAATGGACAAGGAGCTAAGGACATATTAAATAAGACAGACTCTATCTAGGACATTCATAATTAGTTGATGAACAGTCATACAAAATAATAGTTTAGTGACAGAAATGAATTTTGGTACTGTCTGAAGTATCATTTAATTCCTAACTGTAAGTTTGAAACTCTGCTTCCTTTTTATCTTTATTTATTTGTTTGTTTGTTTGTTTATGATTCTGGGTTATATAAGACCATTTTCACGCAAGCAAATAAATGTACTTTGTGCCTGTTACTTACTCCACTGTACCCCAATACTTTGCCATTCATGCCTGTTCCACTCCCATTAGTACCTATTTTTTTTTCCTTTTTGATCTTTTTGAGACAGGGTTTCTCTATAGCCCCAACTGGCCTCACTATGTAGGCCAGGCTGGCCGTGAACTCACAGAGATCCGCCTGCCTTTGCCTCCCAGGTACTGGAATTAAATGCATGCACCACCATGCCCAACCCCATTATTACCTTTTATTCCTCTAGATATTTTCACTTCGGCTTAATGTAAGACCATAAGTGAGAGAAAGCATGTAGTATGCCTTCCTGGGACTGATGTCATCCACTTAACATGATGACTTCCCATTGCATCCATTTTCTTGCAAATAACATAACTTTTCTTTATGGCTGAAAAAAGTTCCATTATATATACAAAACACATTTTCTTTATTCATCTGTTAATGGACATATAGGTTCTATAACTTAGCTATTGTGAAAAGTGCTCTAAGAAACATATAAAACTTTCTTATATGCATGTATGTCTCTGGGCTTGTATGCCATGTGTGTGGGGTGCCCATGAGGCTAAAGAGGTGTTAAATCCTTTGGAGCTGAAGTTACAGGTGGTTGTGAGCTGCCCAACATGGGTCCCGGGACCCAAACTTAGGTCTTCTGGAAGAGCACAAGGTACTCTTAATTTATGAGCCTCCCCTCCATTCCCTGTAGTAAACATTGATATACAAATACCTTTGATATGCTGTTTTAGAGTCTTTAGGGCAAATACCCAAATATTTCAGTTATATTGTAGGTACATTTGGGTTATATGGCAGGTCTATTTTTAGTTTTTTGAGGAACATCCATGGTGATTTCCATAGTAAATGGACTACTTCACGTTCCAGCAATATATAAGGATTTCACTACTTTTTTGTTTTCTTGATGGCTGCCATTCTGACTTGGGTAAGTGTTGGGAGCTATTGCTATAAGCACAGCCATTATGTACATTGAGCTGTGGCAGGCTTGTTTACTGAGTTTGTGTTTTGCACACCAGTACCTAATCTGCCAAGTCAGGAGGGATGTGTTTATATGGTGGAGTTCACAGCAAGTATTTGACCACTCCTCGACCCTCAGAGACAGGTGGGAAAAACAGCTGTTGAAACTAATTGAGCTAAGCAAACAGTGGCTATCTCTGATCTTCTGTATAAAAAGGCGGCGCTAAAATAAACCGGGGCTGCAGTCTCTACTGACAGTCCTCCCAAGTATCTTGTCTGTCTCTTGTTTTTTCTTTCAATCCTCACTCCCCCTTTCAGGTACTGCCCATCTTGGCCGGCTGGCACCGGCAGGTAAGATGGAATTTCAGTGCGGTTTCAACTTGCACTTCTCTGAAAGCTAGTAATGTTTAACATTTTTCATATGTTTATTGGCCAGTTGTACATCATCTTTTGAGAACTGTCTGTTCCTATTATTTGTACATTTATTTATCAAGCTGTTTGCTTTCTTAAAGTTTTTGAGTTTTTGTATATTCTGGATATTAGTCCTCTGCCAGATACATGTACCTAGCAATGACTTTCTTCCATTCTGTAGGCTGTCTGTCCACGCAGTTTTTCTTTTACTGTGCAGAGATTTTAAATTTCATGAGGTTCCATTTGTCAGTTGTTGGTGCTAATTCTTGACCAACTGGAGTCCTACCAACAGAGGGCTTCATTGTGCCAATAGCTTGATGTGTTTTTCTACATTTTCCTTTATCAATTTTAGAGTTTCAAGTCTTACATTAAAGTCTTTGCTCCATTTAGAGATTATTTTCATACAAGGTGAGAGATAGGGATCTAATTTCATTCTTCTACATGTAAATACCCACTTTGGCCAGCAATAATTGTTGAAGAGATTGCCTTTTCTCCAATGTATGTTTTTTGCATCTTTGACAAAAAAAAAAATAGGTAGCAACACATGCTTGGATTTATATATAGGTCTTTTATTCTGTTCTATTGATCTGAGTGTATTTTTATTATTATGACTCTGTAGTTCCACTTGAAATCAGGTATGGCAACATATTCAGTATTATTCCTTTTGTTCAGAATTTCTTTGCCTATCTGAATTTTAAAATTGTTCTTTCTGTTTCTATGAAGAATAACATTGGAATTTTAATGGGATTGTATTGAATCTGTAGGTTGCTTTTGTTCATGTAACCATTTTCATAATATTAATTATTCTAATCCATGAGCATAAAAGGTCTTTGCATCTTTGATTTCTTTTGCAAGTGCTTTTAAATTTTAATTATAGAGGTCTTTCATTTCCTTGGTTATAGTTTAAAAGGTTTTGCCTTTTTGAGGTAATTGTGAATGGGATCAGTTTTGTTTCTTGTATTTCAGCATGCTTGTTATTGAGATATAGGAAGGCTGCCAATTTTTGTATGCTTATTTCCTATTTTACTGCTTTTCTGAAAGTGTTTATCAGACCTAAGAGCTTTCTGATGGATCCTTTAGGGTCTTTTATGTATAGAATGGGAACATTTGCAAATAAGGGTGCTTTGAATTCTCCCTTCCTATTTGTATCTCTTTTATTTCACTCTCTTACCTTATTGCTCTATCTAAAACTTCAAGCATTATATTTGAATAAGAATGGAGAAAGTGGACACCCTTGTATTGCTTTTCATCTTAAATGGAAATGCTTTGAGTTTTTCCTCATTTAACATAATGTTGGATATCTGTTTGTTACGTTGAGATTCATCCATTGCTTTTAGATTTTCGAATTTGGTGGAATATAAGCTTTTAAAGTATGTCCTAATGATTTTCTGAAATTCATTGGTATCTGTTATAATGGTCCCCCATTAAGCTTTGATATTACTAATTAGGGTCTTCTCTCTCTTTCTTTTTGTTAATTTGGCTAAAAAATTGTTAATCACTTTAAACACAAAGTCTTTATTGCATTGATTTTTTTTTTCATTTCCATGTCTTTAATTTCTGTTCTAATCTTTCTGTCTACTGATTTTGAGTTTGGCTCATTTTTCTTATTTTTCCAAAGCCCTGAGGTGCATCGTTAAGTTATTTATTTGAGCTCTCCCCTGTATTTTAATGTAGATACTTGCAGCTATGAATGTCCATCTTAAGGTGACTTTCATGTTTTATGATATCCCAAAGTTTTGGTTTGCTGTGGTTTTATTTTCATTAAATTCTATAAATTCTAGGAGGGTTTTTTGTTTGCTTGTTTGTTTTGGAGGGGTTGTTTGTTTGCTTGTTTGTTTTGGGGGGGTTGTTTGTTTTTGTCTTTTTGAGATAAGGTCTCCCTGTAGCCCTAGCTGGCCTGGAACTCTCTATGTGGACCAGGCTGGCTTGGAACTCCCAGAGATATGCCTTCCTTGGCCTCCCAAGTGCTGCGATTAAAGGTGCGTTCCACCAAGCCCAAATTCTAGGCATTTTTAAATGTTCTTTTTAACTTCTTCTGTGACTCATCCATTATTCAAAAATATTTTGTTCAGTTTCTTTGAGTTTCTGTATATTCTGCGGTTTCTCCTGCTGTTTACTTCTTTTATTCCACTGTGGTCAGATAGAATAAATACAGGAAACTATTTTGATTTTTATATATTTGTTAAGACTTTATTTTGTCCTATTATATGACATGTTTTAGAGAAAGTTTTATGGGCTGCTGAGAAGAATGTATATTTCTTAAAGTTTGGGTGAAATATACTGTTAGGCCCACTTGACATCTTGGTGTTGTTTAACTCAGATATCTCTGTTTTATTTTTTGTCAGGTTGGCTTGTCTGTTGGTGTGAGTATGGTATTGAGGTCACTTACTGTTAATGTATTACTTTGTTTACATCCTGTAGTATTTGTTTTATGAAACTGTTGTACTATTCCATATATGTGTATGTTGAATTTTAAAATCCTCTTACCATTCCTTTTATCAGTATGAAATGACTTTCTTTATCTCACTAATTTTGGTTTGAAGTCTATTTTGTCAGATATTAGAACAGTGACCACTGCTCACATTCTAGATCCATTTTCTCAGAATACCTTTCCCATCTTTTCTACCCTAAGGTGGTATTTATCTTTGATGGTATGTTCCCTGGAGGCAACAAATAGTTTCTGATTTAACCGAATTGATTTACCTTTATCTTTCTTTTTTTATTTTTTATTTTTTTAATCTTTCTAAGACAGGGTCTCCTTGTAGCCCCAGCTGGCCTGGAATTCACTATGTATACCAGGCTGGCCTTGAACTCACAGAGATCTGCCTGTCTCTGCCTCCCGAGTGCTGAGATTAAAGCCATGTGCCACCATGCCAAGCTGCCTTCATCTTTTAATTGGAGGAATTTATTCCTTCATATTCAACATTATTGTTGAAAGATGTGCATTTATTCCTTTTATCAGGTTGATTTTGTAGTGTCTGCTATTTTCCTATTCATCTTTTGTTCTAGTGTTGTCTGTTCTTCCCTGCAGTTTCATTAATGTGATTAGCTTTCTCTTCAGTCCAAAAGATTTCATTAAGTATCTTCTGCCTAGATGACTTAGTTGTCAAGACTTCCTTTAACTCATTTTTATCATGGAAAGTTTTCCTTTCTCCTTCAATTATAACAGATAGCTTCATTTGGTATATTAGTTTGGTTTATCTTGTTGTCTTTCAAACTTGAAATACTTCATTCTAAGCCCTTCTTGCTATTAAAGTTTCTATCAAGAAACCTGCTGCCATTCTGATAGGCCTGCCTTTGTATGTGACTTTGTGTTTCTCACTTGCCACTTTGCTTAGACTTCCCTTCATCTGCTTAGTACTGTTTTAACTAAGACCTTGGGAGGTTCTTTTTTTGTCTAGTCTGTTTGATCTTTTCAGTCTCCTAGATCTGAATCAGCATCTCTTTCTCTAATTTTAGGAAATTTTCTGCTTTTTATCTGCTGTTTATGATTTTTATTAAAAAATTTTTTCCATATCTTTATAGTCAGATTCTAGATTTTGTCTTTCTGTAATGTGCTGTGCTTTTTGAAAGTACTGCTTAATGGAGCTGGAGAGATGACTCAGCAGTTAAGAGCACTGACCGCTCTTGCAGAGGACCTGGGTTCAATTCCCAGCACCCACATGGTGGCTACAAACCATCCTTACCTCCAGTTCTAGGGGAATCCGAAGCTCTCTTCTGACCTCCGCAACATTGCATGATACGGGTGTACTCACATACATGCAGGCAATACACTCATAAACATAAAATAAAAATAATAAAATATTTTCTAAAAGACATTTAACAACAAAAAAGAAAGTACTGCTTAATTTTCTTCATAATTCACTTTTGTCATTGAATGTTCCAGTTCCTCAGCCTTGTCTTCAAGTTTCAATATTCCGTCTTACCCTTATCCAGTCTATAACTATGACTTTCTACTGGAATTTCTTTCTTTTTTCAAATGAAGCCAGAGCCTTGACTTTAATTAATTTTTACATTATGTTCATGCACATTTTGCCTACATATATGTACTTGCACCCATATCACGCAATGCCCCATGGAGCCCAGAAGAGGGAGTCAGATCCTCTGGAACTGAAGTTACACATGGTAGTGAGCAAATATGTTGGTACTGGCAATCTAACCTGGGTCCTCTGAAAGAGCAGCCAGTTCTCTTAACTGCTGAACCATCTCTCCAGCCCCCCTCTACTGAGCTTATTTGACTTACTAAGTTTTTCATTTCTAAAATTTCAGTTTGATTTTAAGTATTTCTGTCTCTTTATTGAATTCTTGTTTCATATCTTATCGGTTTCCTTATTTCATTCAGTTGTTTATATTCCCTTTGAATTCATCAGTTTGTTTATATTGTCTTTGGTTTAATTAAGCCCTTTATAACTATTCTTTGGGATTTTGTCTAATTCACTGTCTTTGGGAGCCATTACTATGGAATTGCCATTTTTTGTGGGAGTTATAATGTCTTCATTTTTCCTATCTCTTATATTACTGTATTGAGATTTGTGCATTTGGGGTTGTTTTGATGCTTGGATTTTTTTTAATAATCAG